CCGCGCCGCGCCAGCCCAGCCCGCGGTTAAAGCTGGCCGCTCCCTCCCTGGTCCTTCACCTCGCTCCCTGCCGCGGTTGCGGATGTCGGGGGCTTCGCCTTGTGTTTAGCATCAGGGAGTAAGGGGGATGTTCCTTTTAACGGGGGAGATTACGTCAGGCTATAGCATTTATTCCTCATCATCCTTCTGCAAAAAAAAAAAAAACAAATAAGAAAAAATGAAGCTCTGAATGAGGTAAACTTCTGGCTGCTCTCAAATCTTTTACCCCTTCTAGCTGGCAAATACGTTCTTCCAACAGGGCTGTTTCCGTGTAGGATTTAGAGAATGTAGTAAGTGAGCTGCCAGCTAATAACAGCAAACTGCGTTCTCTGTAGATCCTGGTTATGCATACACAGGTGTCCGCACAGAGCAGTCGGGATGAACGAGGCCTAAGCTGAGCCAGCAAATTTGCCGTCTTCTCATTAAGCACGAGCCTTAACTCTACCCAGAAACATCAGTCAAACAAGCCAGGTACCTATTATGCAAGAGGTTCACGCTTGTAGAAGAAAGCTGTCCTGGGCTTCTATTGCATAATTTAGTATGTATCCTTCGTTTGACAGTGTATTCCAGAGACCATCTGTGACCGTTTTCAAGACAGTTCCACTTAATGAGGTTATGGGAGAGAAGTAGCCATGTCAGAAGAAGCTGTTACTGAGGCACGATTTTCTCTGAAGACAGTAGCCTTACGGGTGTTTCATCTTCCCCTTTCTTGGTATTATTCTCTTAACCAGGTAATTTCTATGCTGTCTGAATATTGTCACTTTTGATATTTAGAAGTTTAATTGCAATGTGATGCTCATTCATCTCAGCTTAATATGAAGTAAATTTGTACAGAATATCTTGATTTTTACTTTATTTAAACACTGAGCTAAAGTAGGCGGGTTTTTTTGCCTTTTTCTGCTAACAAACGCTTAGTGCATCATCATATACCTGACTGAAGACATTGCTTTATCTGCAGTGTCTGTACATCTTCATTTTGCAACAGCACAATGATTCGCCTCAAATCAAATACCAAAATCCTAAAGTTGTCTTTTTTTTTTTTTGTACATTTTTTTTTTTAGGTATTTTCCTCAAATCAAATACCAAAATCCTAAAGTTATCTTTTTTTTTTGTACATTTTTTTTTTTAGGTATTTAAAAACTAAACATAACTGTTATTAAATTTTGACTAATAGTATTGAGTGTGGTCTGAAATAATTTCTAGATTAATTTGGTGCATGGTACTGGCAATCTGAATGATAATTAGCTAATACAAATCAAAAATCTGTCATTCCAGTTTTCCAGTCCCTTCTGTTTGATTAAATAAGTGGCACGTGACTAAAACAAGGCAGTGATTCTTGAAAAGCAGGCTGTCTTTTAAATCAGTTCGGTTCTTTTTGCTGGTTTTGTTCCTGTGCTTTACTTACTGAAAGATCCTCAATGAAAATCTTAAGGCTCTATTAATCACAGTATTTCCTTTTATAGATGGCCCTGGTGTGATTTATTTTTATTTTCTTTCATTGATATTATAGGCTAGCTTCCACTATATAAGTAGCAACATGGACAGCAGTAACTCAAATCTGGGCAAAGAGTACATTATGGTCTTAGTTTTCAGGCTGACAAAAGCTGGAAGTATTGTGAAGCTGATACTCCATGTCTGCAGGGAATCCTAAGATTTGTCCCTAGAGCACCTTCATTTCAAAGACAGGGAGGAGGAGCAGCTGTAATTGTGTTGTAGAGAGTCAGAGAAGAGAGGTGTTAGTTGCCTATAACTACATGTATGATAAATGATAGAGCAAAATAAGCCAGAATTACTTGAGAAAATATTAAGGCTTCAGTCATATCCCACAGAGAATAAATTTCTTGAAGAGTGAAACAGATTCTGATGCCATAATACCCAGGAGGAAAAAAGGGGTTCTAGTTGGCTGTACAAAATACGGTCCAGTAGTTTGTCGTGGTTTAACCCGGGTTTTTCCCATGCTGTGTGTGCTGAATCATTGACAAGGCTAACTAAAAGAAAAACAAATCTTTATAACTTAAGAATGCCAATGTTTTTAAAAAAATAGATATTAGCAGGTCCTGATAAAGTTCTGATTTTAAAACCCGTCTTTAATATTGACTGTATTTACTTCTTATTGAATTAAATGCTTGTAAGCAAAGGCTATGTAATTTTTCATATTTGCATGTAAATGCATTTCAGAGTTCTACTGCACATAAAACTAGAATGAGATATTCTCAGTCTTAGCTGCATCTGCTTATTTTCACTTTTTTTGTTTGCAATAGTTGAAAATTCTCACTGCAAGATCACTGATTTCTTTTTTATGCAGCGTATTCGTATCCTTTTTAAATACCGTGTGCAACTCCATTATGTACAACTATTAACTTCCCTTCCTTAGAGGTTTTCATTGCACTGTTAATTTATTTATGATCCTGCTTGTAGGCACAGACAAATTTTTTAAAATCCACATATAGTTCTTTGAAACTTTAGTTCTAGCATTTAATTCTGTGAGCTTCAGGGTTTTAATCTCAGATATTTGGTTATTAACTCTTTTCTGTTAAATACAGTAGTCTTTTGTAAGTATGCGTTCCTGCTTTGTTTCAGGGATTTCGTTTTCCTTGCAGAGTACAGCATTAGGTTTTTGGCCTCGGTCAAGAGAGAGTACCCTAAGGGCAGGGTTCTCAAGTCAAAGGTGTTTGACTTGTTGGTTGCAAAGTCAGTGCAGAGCAAAGCCCTCAGTGCTTCTTTAAATTACCCAGCTCTGACAGTATTAACCACTGGCACAGCAACCAGGGACTGCCAGAGCGCAGTGGCAGCCTGTGTGGCCAACTCTCTCATAGGGGGAAACATGTTACAGAAACACCGTCTTAGCCCCAAGGACTGCAGATCTGGTTTTCTCCCAGCAGTCTGTTTCTCAAGCAGCATAGATTTCCTAAAGATTTTGTGAATGTGGACTCTAATTTCCAGTTAAATGGCTTTTTTTCCTTGTATATCTTGTCACTTTGAATTTTATGAACTTTGTTAATGGCTTTTAATTCCAGTTGCTTGCATATGTGGTTCTTACTTGCTAATTTAAACATTTGTAAACCCATGATTGATCTGTATCCAAAATGTAACCCAAAACAAAAAAAAGTTTATTTAGAGAAATATGTTTAAATACATGTTCTTCCCAAATGGAAACACCATGCAAATATTAGCTTTTGGATCCTCCACCCTTTCATGCTGCAAGACAATAGTCTAGTTGTGAAGAGTGAGTTTCTTCCCAGTATTTTTTTTCTGTTAGAGAATTAATTGAAGCCCTGCATTGTCCTGGCATTAAAAAGTAATTAAAAAATAGTTTATCCAAAAGTCATTTATTTAGATCTCCATAGTTTGTGGATTTGCAATATACCTTGCAGTTTTTGCTGCTGCTGTAGGTGTCTCTGCAGCCACTTGCTTCATCGCACCAGCCTCTTTGTAAACGCTCTCACCTACTGGCCATTGCAAATTTTGAGCAGCAATTAGTCTGTGTCCTTACTCCAAGTTGGTTGTTTCTCAGGCTGTGTGAGAGCAGCATCTCTTATCTCCCTCAGACAAGCTATAGCCTGGGGTGGGCACAAAAAAAAGGAGGGTAGGAGGAAAGGTGGGGGTTAAGGAGCATATATTTCCAATGAAGTTGCACTCTTTTATTTTCAGATAAAGCTTTCCCCTGGGTTAAAGAAGCTGTTCACGGTAACAGCAGTGAGTGCAATATCTGTTATTTTTCTGGCCCATCATTTTAAAAGAAGGCGTGGAAAGAAGAACAAGAAAGTGCCACCATGGGAACCAAGTCATCTAGTATTAGAGTGTACCAAAGCAGCTGCATCAGAAAAAGGTACATGAAGAAACCCCCAAATTTTTTTTGTTTTCTTGGATGGGAAGGAAAGGGGTGTGAGGGGATGGGTGTGCACGAGCGTGTAGTAGTAAAACAAACTATTTTCCTTTAATGCTGAGTAGGTTTGAATTGTTAAAGTAGAAATTGTGCCAATTGGGAACAAAATTACAGGGTTTTATAAATAAGCTGGTCTTATTCTCAAAGGTGAAGTTTTATTCGTTAATTTGAATTAAAACTTTTTTTAATAATAGCATATTAACAATGGAGTTTGCTGTTCTTGTGGACATATCTCAATGCTGAGAAAAACAGGTTTAAATTTGTATAGGTTAGGAAAATAATTATGCTTAAATGCATGTTTATTGTTATAGATATTGGCTGTTCTAATTTGTAGTTTCTCATGTAGAACTGAAAATAATAATTGTTGTTTGCTTCTAAACTGGATTTTATTTCAAAGTGTAAATGCAATTCTTGCTGGATCTTGCTAACAGAAGATACACTGATTTTAAAGCTGCTGCAAACTCAAAACCTTGTATCTGTTAGGTTCTAGTTGTTCCAGTAGTCGGCAAAACTTGACTCTTTCTCTGAGCTCTGCCAAGGAGAAAGGATCTCAGCCTTGTATCTATGCAAATGGAGGACTTTTCAGTAAATACTCTGGTTCTGTTCAGAGTTTGGCCTCGGTAAGTAAAAGTGTTTTAAGGCTTTTGAATGTCTGTTAACTTGCACTGCATCTGCACCTAGTGGTTTCACGGAGCTGAAACGATCCTGAACAAGTGCACAGATGGCTAGAGGTGCTGAGAAGGCTATTGTACTTACTACATAGTATAAAATAGTTTCTAGATAGATAACTTGAATGTAATGTACTCTGGCAGGAATGTAGTTTTAAGGATACTCTGTATAACAGCACTTCAAAATTTGTTTGTTTTTTTTTAAGGTTCAGAGTGCCACATCTTGTCACAGTTGCGCTTGTGCCAATTCTAATTCCTGGGATAAAGCAGATGAAGATGATATTAAGCTTGTCAATATTCCAGTGACCACACCTGAAAATTTGTATTTGATGGGTAGGTTATAATAAGAATATTCAGCATCTACCAACAATGAATGTAAATAATTTCTTGGGTTTGGGTAAAGTGACACACAATATTATTGTGGTGTCCTTTCACAGTGTCCTGTGGGCATGTGTCTAAGAACGTTCCCATGAAATAACGAAATCTTACTTGATCTAGAGCTAGGTTTTTAAAATACAAGTTTTTATACCTGTATTTATAGTAGTAAGCCATAGAATTATTTGTAGAAGTAAACAGGAAAAAATACAATGAAATTCTTGCTTTAATCATATTGTGAACTTCTGTAGCTTGTTAAAAAGGCAGATAGATATCTATCTATCTATCTATCTTTTGTTTTAGACTGGGAATTGCTATTGTTTTTAAAACTTAGATCTCTGCTATGATCATGTTTATTAACTACGTAGTTTCCTGTGACTCTAAAATGTGAATACATATGGAGGCTGTGTATTTGATGGAATGGAGGTATTCCTGATCTCCCCTAGGTATGGAGCTTTTCGAAGAAGCACTACGTCGATGGGAACAGGCACTAACGTTCCGTAACAGGCAAGTTGAAGATGAAGCAAGTTGTGGTTCCATTAAACTGGGAGCAGGAGATGCAATTGCAGAAGAAAGTGTAGAAGTGAGTATATTCAATCTATAATCTACTGTTGCTGCCCTGACAATTCGTTGTGTTTTGTTATCTGAATCTTTTCAATTTCTAACTCAATTACCAAAACTGAGAATGAATTCAAATTTCCAATTTAGTGGCATTGCATTTAAAGGGTATCTAATTTTGTTCCTTTGTACTTTTTTGGTTGGTTATTTGGAGGAGGGGGAATTAGCTTTATTTATTATTTTTTTTTTGCAATTGCTGTTGCATCAGCGTTTGCTTCTGGATGGCATTATCAAGCTACCAAGCGTACTTGTTCTCTGCACAAAATCTCTTGGGTCATCCCTTTCTTTTATGACTATGTGAGAGGATATCTGCTTAGCAAAGATAAAGGTCTTGTGAAAGATGATGAATTTATGAATATTCACAAATAATGTGCTTAAACTTTATTTGTATTCCTTTGTTCTTATGAACTAAGCGCTAAAAATATTTTGAAATAAACATACACCTGTATGTCTCATTATTTCTAGTGCAGTAAACATCACAGATAATTTTAAAATATTTTAAAACTCAGGGGTTTTTTATTATAGTAAATAAAATATGTGTATGTTTAAAAAAGCGTGTCTATTTTGGATGTTGAGATATTCATCTGACAGTGTCCTTGTGTGGTTTGTAGGAAATTAATGTGGCACAGTGTGCTCTTTGAAGGCTTAATATTCTTAGATTATACAAAGGAATCTTACGGACTACAAATGAATAGAAAATCTTCTAATGTCTGTCTTCTTGCCAGGATATCATTAGTGCTGAATTCATTCATAAGCTTGAATCACTTCTTCAAAGAGCTTATCGTCTTCAGGAGGAGTTTGAGGCCACCCTTGGGGTCTCTGATCCTGCTTCTCTAGCTAATGATATTGGTGAGTACTCCTGTTTTACATTTTTATTGCTTGTAATAATGACTCTTTCAGGGGGAAGTCACTGAAATATCAACTCAGCAGAATTATATTTATTAGTAAATAAGCAGAAGGAACTTTAGGTTCTTTACATTATTATGCAATGTTTGATGTAGTGCTTGTATTTTAGATAAGAATGGATGGAGAGGAAATTTTTTCCTTGTGGCTTGTCAGTATACTTCCGAATTTTGGTAACACTTCTCTGCTTTCTAAAGTTTATGTTAACTCAAGTATTTAAATATTTATGCTGTAAGAATATATGACCCTTTTATAGCATGGGTGCATTAGAGTCTTTCAAAAGAATTTTGTATGTCTTTTGAATTGTCATGTTGTGTATGCATGTACTGGGGGTTTTTTGCTTGCCATAATTAAATACGTTTTTTACAAAAAACCAAAACCAAACCAGAAAGACTTCTCCCGAAACAGGTATCCATTACCAAAGCTCTTATCCTGGTGATTGAAATTTATCACAGTTATGAGTGACTAAAACCAGGATGTTATAATGGCAAATGTAAGAGTAGTTCTTGCCGAACATTGATTAAATACAGATAGTTTGATTATTTTTATTTGAAGGATTGCTTTAAGAAGTTATTAAAGACTGATACTATTATGCTCTTTCATAATTCAAGATCAAGCATCTGAGCTCAAATAACTGTCACATTTTAAAGACAGAACATGTTCTGGGATTAGTTTTAGTCTGTAGTCTTGTTTGTTAGGCTTCAGCTTGACTGGCACGAGGTGGCAGTACTCTCATCTCTTAGTCCTCGTGTTACCCTGCAACTACTAAATACAGCTCTGAGTAAGGTGGGAATTAAATTTAGGTCAGAGCTAGCTTTCTGACATATCTGCATACACCTGTTAATGTAATTCTTAAAACAGAAAAGTGTTTGGATGTTTTATTTTGGTGTCTGAAACCATAAGCCCTAAATAAAGTTGCAGGGTAAATCCATTATTCAATTAGAAGTTTATTTGTAATTTCTATCTTCAGGCAAAATTAATAAAATGGCATTCAAAGGACTCAGTGTGATGTTCAGTGGGCTTAGTTATTGTTTTGCTTGGTTACCCTGGAAGTATTTTAAATTGATATTTTATTTTTTAGATGTGATGATTCTTGTTTGCCAAGAATGTTCTGAGAATTGAATTCCTTTCAAATGTCCTCTGTAGAAATTGTTTGTGATCTCTTGAGTAGATGTCTGTTACTTTATTTGGCATTTTATTTGTGCTGGCCCAGATAAATGAGGAAAACAAGTAATGAAGTAGTTTAGTGAATAGTATTTTCACTGTTCAGGATTTGGGGCTTTTTCATCATTATCTTGAATTTGTGGCTTGAACAGCAAGTAATATGTTAGAGAATGCTTCAGTTTTTCAGGTTGCTGTTTTAGAAGATCTAATACAGAGGAGGGTTTTGTTCAATATTTGATATAAAAATATTTAATCACTCACAGTTTCTTAGATAACTTACTTTCCTGTAGGATATGACGCTCCGTTTAGCGTATGAATGTTTGAAGTGGCATGTCTTTCAGATTGACATTTTTTGGTAACTTTTGTGGGGAGACACAGAAAAGTATGTTTGGGAGAATTCTAGAGGGTCTCTTACAAGTTTATTTTTCCCTTTTTTTTTTTTCTTTTTATTTTTATTTGGTAATCTAGTGGAAGAGAAGGAAAGCTGCTGTCAACAAACTTTCCTTTATGACCCCAAAATGTACATGTTAACATGTAATACTTCGTTTCACTTCTGTTCAAAGCCTTGTATTACTCTTTTAGGAAGTGTGTAAACATGAGGAAGAGTATAAACATGGATGCTTTTTTCCTTTGTGTGTGTGTGTGCGTGCACATGTGCATATATGAGGAACAACAGGAATGGAAGGGTTCAAGAGCAACAACAATAAGCAAGTCCAAGAAAATCACGAAATCCCAGTGGCCAAAAGAAATAAAGATAGTACAGCATTCTTTATGCTATTAAGAATACGAATAATATCTTACTCCAAAAAACAAATGACAGTTCTGAACAGAAAACAGAAATGAAGGTGCCAGTGCTCTTTATTTGAAATGAATCAGGAATGTGTGTACATCTTTGACACTGATAGGAATGTATATCCTATGTGGTGGAAGAGGCAGCATCTGCTAAATCAGAATCAGTAGTCCTGGATGATTTATACCCAAAACTTCTTAAAGAAGTTAGGTAAAGTAAGCACTCTAATCCATATTTTACTATTCACTAATCTTAGGAAGTGAAAAATGTTCCAAATGACTGGGAAATTGCCAATTTAGTTCCAAATCTTAAAAAAACCCAAACAACCAACCCCAAAACTCCAACACCCAAGTCAAGTGTCATGCCTGTGAAATAATAGTTGTTAATTTGCAGCTCTGTTGCCGCACACAACATAATAAAGGGTATAATTAGTGCCAGTTGATACAGTTCCATGGTAGCTAGTTTTTCTTGGACTGTAGATGCTTGAGAGATCTGCAGTTTGGGGGATGGATACAGGATACATTAGATGATAATAATTAGCTCACTGACATGAACATTTGTTTATACTTCTGTTAAGGGAAAGATGTCTTTTCTAGGGAAGATGTTTGGGCAAATGCTGTAATTTTATCAACTGTATAGTTGATGATAAAATCATTTGTAGGGCTGGAAGTTGATAAAATAACATTTAGGGCATTAAAAGCATTGAATTAATGAAAAGGAAAGGTTAGTAATACTGACCTGAATTATCTGTTTAAATGGTTACAATCTAACAAATAACATTTGAATCCAGGCAAGTATGGATTGTACATATAGATGGGAGACTTTAAAAGAAAAATAATAAAGACAGGCTCTTGGCATGCATTAGGAAAATAATGTGTAACAGTCAGTATAAGTTCTCAGCACAGTGCTGTAGAAAAAAGACCATTGCTAATCTCTGGCTATGTGAAAAGGACAGCATCAGCATAGAGGCAGAGATACGATCTTGGTTTTGTATGGTTTTAGAATACTGTGTCCAGTTCTGTTGTTCATATTTCAGAAGATATGGAAATACTAGACAGCTCAAAACAAGCCATAAAAATGATCCATGTTTTGGAAAAACAAGCTCATATGTGGCTTAAGTTGCGTATGTCCAGCTCCTTAATGAAGAAAATACTGAGAGGTGACTTACTTGTTCTGAATAGCTGCTTACACATGGAAAAGGTATGTGGTGCTGGGGGATTTGTAGTCCTTGGTGTCAGAGTCATAACTAGATCCAATTTCTGGTTGTTTAAGTGAAACAAGTGAAGTTCTGAAGTTTCCTGTGAAGCATGTTGAGGGTATTTCAGTGCTTTAGACAAAGATCATTTTTTATTTTATTTTATTTTTTTAAATGTTATTTTGAGGGATGGTTTTATTCCTCTTTGAGAGGAAGGGATGTACTTGAGGGTAAATGGTCGTTGTGGTCTTTCTGACATCTAAGCATTTCCCCTTACTACTGCTATTTTTTCTTCTTTCGTGGGCCTTGGAGTGAACAAGAAAAAGCCTTTGTTGTCCTTAATAGGTTCATAACACTTCCAGCTTGTTGTTAGAATGCTTATAACCGGATCTTATGCTTCAGGGTTTCAACTCTTGACCCACAATGGTAATCAGGAAATGTTTTGCTATGTTTTTTCTTTGATAGACATCATGGTTAGACATAGTTTGTGGATTTTTCTTCCATTCTCTCCATCCAAAGCACTTGTGATTAGCCACAGCTGGAGACAGGGCTCTGACAGTTGGACAAATGCTATCAAGTGTTATCAAAAGACTTGCTACATAAATATCTGGCTATAGCACTTCTTATTCAGAAACCCTGGGTTATAAGGAGCTCCAAATTTTTTTCAGGAAGGAAGCTTACACAGGTAAACATTTCCATTGGTCTCTGGTTTTCAGCTTTCTCTGCAAAGTCTTCTGTCAAACTTTTGGGGCTCCTGAAACCACACTCTCCCCTACTTGTCTGCTAGTCACAGATGTTGCTCCTTCCCAAAACCTTTAAATGTTATTCTTCCCAGGTCGTCATTTCCCTCTACCTAATCAGAGTAAGATCTTAGTGCTGCCATTGATCGATCATACCACAGACTTGCTTTTCGTTTTGTGATCCCACTTACTAGGTGAAGTTGGTTGGCATTATAAACAATTTGCCAGCCGGCTTTGAGAAACAGCCTTCTGGAGGCCACTCTGGTAACATGCTATGCGGAGTCAGGAATGAGTTGCCCTGCTGGAATACAATAGCTTTTGTTTCATGATGTGGCCTGAAGGCTTCTCTTCTGCCTGCTATGACAGGTAAAAGGTGACTTGTCAGAGCAGGCAATCATCACTTAAAGTGGTTGCATGCTGTAGTCTAATTGCCTTTTGTTTGATTCTTGTTGTGTAAATTAGCATCTCCAAATGCTGTTTTCTTTCTTCCTAGCTATATGTAAATGATACATTTTATCTTCCTGATATTTCTTACTATTCAACTTTTAGCACTGCAGAAGATACAGGTATAAATAAATACCTTTTCTCCCTGTGGGAAGAATTCTATTAATGGCAATAATAATGATAAAAATAATTGCAAATAATAATTTACAGCTCTGTAAGCTATTGTTGAGTTATAAACAACAAATACAGCCCTGGAAAATACTTGCATTTTAAATAGAAGACATAATGGAATGCAATTACATTCATTGTTGTTGCATTCTCCACTGGACTTTCAGAAATGTCATATGAACCAGCAAGCTAAAATAGGATTTCTATAGCAGAAATATTTCTGGACGTGAAATTAAAACAAATATGTAGGGCTAAACTGCTGTTGTTTTTATGCTGATCCTCTTAGGGCTGTGAAACAACATGGGAAGCCTAGAAATAGGCTTTCCTGAGGCAGGCATAAGCTGCACTGAATCAGAAAGGAGGCAATTGGCAGAAAACTGTGAAACAAAATATTAATCTTGTTATTTCTGAGTGGTGAATGTGAGGGGGTAGGGGTTAAAAGCTT